GAACCTGTGTGTAGAGCTAATACACAGATGTAGAACCTGTGTGTAGAGCTAATACACAGATGTAGAACCTGTGTGTAGAGCTAATACACAGATGTAGAACCTGTGTGTAGAGCTAATACAGAGAGAAAGAACCTGTATATAGAGCCAATACAGAGAGAGAACCTGTATATAGGGAGAGAGAACCTGTGTGTAGAGCTAATACAGAGATGTAGAACCTGTATATAGAGAGAGGAAACCTGTGTGTAGAGCTAATACAGAGATGTAGAACCTGTATATAGAGAGAGGAAACCTGTGTGTAGAGCTAATACAGAGATGTAGAACCTGTATATAGAGAGAGAGAACCTGTGTGTAGAGCTAATACGGAGATGTAGAACCTGTATATAGAGAGAGAACCTGTGTGTAGAGCTAATACGGAGATGTAGAACCTGTATATAGAGAGAGGGAACCTGTGTGTAGAGCTAATACAGAGATGTAGAACCTGTATATATAGAGAGAGAGAGAACCTGTGTGTAGAGCTAATACGGAGATGTAGAACCTGTATATAGAGAGAGAACCTGTGTGTAGAGCTAATACGGAGATGTAGAACCTGTATATAGAGAGAGAACCTGTGTGTAGAGCTAATACGGAGATGTAGAACCTGTATATAGAGAGAGGGAACCTGTGTGTAGAGCTAATACAGAGATGTAGAACCTGTATATATAGAGAGAGAACCTGTGTGTAGAGCTAATACAGACATATAGAACCTGTGTGTAGAGTTATTAGACCTATTCTCTGCACAGAGCACTGTACAGGATTGAACCTCTCTGTTCCTGTATCCAGAGCACTGTGTATATGTGGTAACCCTTTCACTTCCTACATTCAGAACAAAGTTACAGGTTAACACTTAGCTCTGAATGCCTACTTATCCCATGTGTTAACCCTTCCAAACTCTACATGCAGAGCAGCATGCAAGTGAAGTTAAATGAGATTGCCCAGTGCTTAACTCTTTATCATTTAGCATCCTAGTAGTTAAAAAAATTCTCTACATTTAGGGACTACCGGTAATTCACCTTTGCAATAGGTTATAATTATTTACAAATTCTGCGCAGTAGGTTATAACTAGTTACCCGTTCTGTGTATTTTCCATATATGTAACGTGAGCCGCTAACCATACATATCTTTCTATAATTAATGAGTAACTGTAACTATCGTTGGTAATTAGCTATTTTAAATATAGGTCAAGTTATTCAGTTCTATATCGCTTCATTTAAATTTCAATATAAGGGTATTGAAAGGAGCGCAAATCAATTGCAATATACCTGTCTCTCCAGATTTTATTTGCAGTCGTGGGTGTGAATCTGAATTGAGTAGGAGAAATACCGCTTAAAGTACCTGTTTATTCACATTGTTTTGTAACTACTATGGCTTTGTCTGTACGTGACTCATGTTCACATGTAATGCTGTACAACACTATTTAATTAAGGATGAGGTACAGCCTGCATGGCAGTAGGAATCTGTAAAGAATCCTGTAGGTTACATTTTTTTCCACGTGAATGCAAGTTGCAGAGATAGCAGAATGGGTTAATGTGCTACCTGTTAAGCCTGGTTCAAATTGAGAAATGCAGGCTGTTTTCATGTAGCCTTCTGAGGTCAATGATATAAGTACAATTGAGTTTGTATACTTAACAGAAAATGTGACTTTAATGATTAATAATCATTGTTTGTTTTAGTTCATAAACATCAGATTTGTATTAGCACCCTATCTGTGATGTACAGCAATGCCTCACATGTATACCTTTGCCAGGTTTTTCGAGAATTTACAGGGCCGGATTAGAAACATGCCCTAATTATGCCTCTGTACTTGCACCTTATAGACCCTGCTGGTAAAGTTATCCATCCACCATAGTGATCCACCTCTGTCTGTTACACTACTTCTACCCTAGCTGATCCCAATTGTAGCTAACCCTCAGCACTCCGCAAATTAGGTGATAGGTTGTTATATTCAGCCACGTGTCTTTGTCAACCTTACCCATGGCACAAGCACTGAGATTAGGAATGGTTCGGGGATGCTCCCGATACCATTGAACATTTGTATACCTGGCTAATCCTTGTCAGTTGTTTAGTAGATTGCGCCCCACCATGATAGATTTTGGCTTCATTCATGTTGTAATTTCCACTCTGTTTATTTGTACTTTGGAAAAACTTCCAAATATATATATATATATATATATATATATATATATATATATATATATATATATATATATATATATAGTAACCCTGCCCTCCTGGTCTTGTCTTCCCCTGTCACACAGCAGCTTCCTTATGAGATGTACTCAGCTTATCCTATGAGAGATCATTGTGACAGCACTTCAGCCAATCACCATCTTCCACTCATGTGTAGTAATTTAAAGGGACACCATAGGCGCTAACAGTGCTACATCTCATTGAAGTGGTTATAGTGTGTGGCGCCCCCTGGAGTTGTCCTTCCGTTTGGTGGTAAACTGTTTTTTATGTTATAATGTTAAATGAGAATCCCCAGCAGCCCATCCTCTCTGTGCTGCTTGAACCAACGAGGTAGTATTTGCCTGTGTAGCATTGAGTGGCTGTGATTGGCAGAGAGTGTAATCTGACCACTTTCAGCCTATCACAGCACCCGTTGCTGGTATGAGTTATAATGGATAGAAGGAAGTATGTTAG